CTGGGGCGATGATGGCTCAAGCTACACTGGGGCGATGATGGCTCAAGCTACACTGGGGCGATGATGGCTCAAGCTACAACGCATAATCAGATGCGCTCCTGATTATCAGGTGGCTGAGGCATCTCCAGCTTGCTACCTCTGCCCCCTTAGACTGGGCAGATGCCCGCGAGCCTGCAGTGCTGTTAGTAAGAGCCGCGCCCGCTCCTCCAGTCCATGCCAGCTCTGTGTTGTTCAGAGTGACCCACTGCAAGCAGCCCCACCACAGGCCTGTGGGAAGACCACATCCACAGCCCCTCACTACCCTGGACACCAGTGCAATAGCACAGTCCTGAGTACTCCGGCCAGAGACAAAAAAAACATTCACCTGCCCAACAGGAACCCTAACCTTAATGATAATCCTGAAGGCTACTACAATCGATGCTCTTCACAAAGTGTGGAAGTGATAACAGTCACTCACACACACAGCTGGACAAAGAGCTACTCCGCCACATTAAAAAATGATAACCCTTTAGTCGTCGCCAGAGACTTCAAGTCTTAAAACTGCAGATCACAAACCAGGCATCTGATTAAATATGTGAGAAAGCATTGTGTCTAAAATACTAGGTGCAACAAATGTCAGGTGTTCCTAAAGATTAATTAATTAAACACTGATAAATTACTGATGCAACACTCTACTCTAGAAGTGGAAATTGATGCACCTCAATTTGGAGAGTTGGAGTGCTTTAAAAGTTTTAAATTTTTCTTTTGTTGGGCGACAGGTTTTGTTTTCTCTGGTGAATACTATGACATTATTTTCCGTTTTTGCACAGGTGCATTAGGGATCAAATAGGGTGTTTGAAACAATCTCAAGATGAGCAAGAGCAGTACATTCATCTTCAGTCAAGCCTGGATCAGATCACAGAATGCAAAGCCTCAGCCAGCTGCTCTCTGCCTGTACGGCTACTTGCCTGCATGGCCAAGTGCACCTCTGTGGTTTCGAGTCTGAATCCCGAAGTAGGGCTCTAAAGGTCACATTCTGTGCTACACTGCAATAACTGTGAACAAACAAACCCTTCAGGCATAAGGATGAAGCCCATGGTGCCATGAAATGAAGCATTTGTCATTTTTAATAACCTAATTGTTTCCAGAAGTTGAGGACTGCATATAAATAGCCCATTCTCAGATGCAGAGCAAACTCATTTCCCTGAAGTGTGTGACTCAGGCCCATAGCAAGTTGCAAATGGTTCAATAAAACCTCTCCCCCTCAGTCCATGCAGTATCCAGATACCAACATCTCGCAGCCAAAATAAAAGAGCTCGAGAAGTTATTGCTCCCATCAGCTACAGCGAACACTCCCTTTCGGCTTCTGAACGCGGGGCATAAATGGATTCAGGAGGTTGCCTTTTCTGTCTTTTCTACAACTTTTTCTATGCTACGTGATGCAAAACAAAAACAGCCGCGCTCTATCACTGCGCAGTTTTAGTTCTGGCCTCAGTCTGCTGTAACTCCGTGGCTCACCACTATTAATTAACTTCTGTGCTCTTCAACGAGGTCTCGTATCTTATAACATTCCCCAGTAAACAAAACCTAAAAACAGCTCAGTTCTTGCAGGTCGGTGTGGAGACCTGTCAGGCTTTACAAAATCCTGCCTGATTCATGGTATGTCAAGAAGAATCATCATTAAGAGGGGTAACAAGGGAATCTCTGGAGCTGGCCTTGAAGCTCACAGAACAGTGTCAGTAAAACAAGAGCCTTCAGCACAGGTGAGAAATGATGGATGTTCAGACCAAGGGCTCACCACATCAGATCAATATCCTCAAACAACGATTGCATCTCCGCCAAAACCACCCGCAGGGTCCCTTGCCCACGCTGCCCCTTTGCTCGTCCTCCACCTCCACTCCAAGAAAACCAGCAGCATGTGCAGCCCGCCGTGAAGGGGGTGGGGGAGGAGCCGGGCGCTGGCGAAGGCGACGGGACAGCCCCGTTCCCGGAGGGTCTCCGACACGGCCCAGACGGAGGACTCACGTCGACGTCGGGCCGCTTCAGGATGTCCTCCACCTTGGCGAGGTCCCCGTTGGCCGCTGCCTTGACCAGCTCTTCGTTAATGTCACCCGACTCCTGGGTCTCGAAGAGCTTCTTCAGGAGCTGGGACAGGCGCTCTGCAGGAAAGCACGTCCGCACATCGTCTTCACCAGCGTAGCGCCCTCCTGTCCTGGTACCCACAAGCCTAACACCACCCACTCCCCGACCGCTTCATCCAGCGCGGGGTCACAGGAGAGCCGGAGCCTATCCCAGCAAGCAACAGGAGCAAGGCAGGGCACACCCTGGACAGGACGCCAGTCCATCGCAGGGCACACACACACACACTCACACCAGGGCTGACTTTCCCAGAAAACAATGAACTTACAGTAACAGATTAACCCCAGTCTTGGTACACAATGACCTGACTGGCTGAGGTCACTACGATTAATAGGGCTGGGGAAAACAGCAAACACATTTCAGAAGCGTCTACTCTGGGACTCGTAGCTTAGGGTGCATTTCAATCTCTTTGCGTTACTTACTGCATTTCTAAAAATTTGTGCGAGAAAGTACAGAATTGACGTCTCTTCCTTGTTTTGCTTTGTCTTAAGCTGCATCCAGAGCTGGAAGCTACGATCTGCCCGTCCCCACCAGCGCTCAGCGGGCCCTGCCGACACTGCGGCCTCATTCGCCCCGGCGGGCCGCGCCGCCCGTTCCCGCGCCACCGCGCCCAGCGCCGCCCAGCCCGTACCTCCGGAGGCGTTGGTGACGGCGGAGCCGGCAGGAGCCACCTTGGTGACGGCCGCGGGGTTGTAAGTCCAGGACGTCCCGCACACCTCCACCTTCAGGTCGCTGTCCGAGTAGATCTGCTGGACCCGGCCCACCTTCCCCAGCGTCTGCGGCACACAAAAAGAGCGAGCTGACCCGCCGCGCAGGGACCCTCGGCCCCGGGGAGGGGGCAACCGGCGGCGCCAGGAACGGCCGCGCTTGCAGGTCAACCGTTTCTAAACGTGCGCGACGTCGTTTGCCGGGGAGGTGCTCTGCACACAACCCGGAGCCAGACCGATCCCGGCACTCCCTTCCACAGGAGCACAGCAGCTCCTCGTTCAGGTCTGCCACAGCCCTTCAGAAAGGACCAACGGATAACAAGCCTCCCTCCTGTCACACCACAGATCTCAAATGCAAAAAGGGGGCATTAATGTGCAGTGCCCTCCACAACGTCAATATCCAAGCTGACATTCTGAGGGGGAATATCTGGACCCAGGTTAATGCCTCTTATCACATGGAAAAAGGCCTGATTACTGAATTTCCAGTGGTCTGTTAAGTTTATCTAGCAGCTGCCAACATACAGAATAACTGGTCACTTTAAAGTGATCCTATGCATCTTATAAGAGGGAACAGATATCCATCCCAACCCCCACAAGCATAATTATGCTCTGGGCTGACAGGAGAATAGAAAAGTATTACAATAAAACCCAAGTTTTACTGCATAACTAAAACATATGCTCAGTGCTAATTAATGGGTGAGTATTCATGAGTATCCTAGTGCCCTTACATTACAAAATATTCATGGTTTCTTTGAAAAGTATACAAGGGGCCGTATTTCTGTCTTGCATGCTGATAATACAGGTCCTTCAAGCATCTGAAGGATAACCAGTATATCTTCCCACTGAACATAAGAACTGTTTGTCCTCTAAGCAAAATCCAACAGGGCACTGAAAAGAACCATTCTAAATTCAATAAGGAAGAAAATGATCTTCCTGTTTGAAGCGTAGTCAGAGAATCCAAATGGCATGTCAGACCCAGAAAAAACTAGACTGCAACTCCTCAAATACTCAAACTGAAGGAGGACTGAGAACAGAAGAATAAGATGTTTTTTTGCAGGGCATTTCTTAAAGCATTCATATGAAGACACCCTGCTGTTTTGCAAAAGTAAATTGATTCTAAAATATGCCTCCGACTCAAATCTAATTCAACAGTGCTATGAAACACTGTGTTGCAATGAACTACCAAACTGCTAGTATAGTAGCAAATGGAGCAAGACACGACATGGAGAAGGTTACCTTACAAGAGTTAAGACGGCTTTCACCTGTCTCTGCTGGGTTTTAAGACTGCTTATGAAGGAGCCCGCCTTCCATGTTTTTCGTTCTGCACATAAAAATGGGCCCTAAAGCACTTCGCCAAACAGAGAGCGGCTTCTGCCCTACAGGAGGCGCTCTCCTCTGCAGCAGAG